ATTCGTTACTCTTACCGAGCGGTCTCGAACTGAAGCCGGTGAATCGCCCGGCACCCTGCACCATCTGCCCTGCGGCAAACCTACCGCACGAGCCGTTCCCGACTCATTTCCCTGGAGCTGACGATTATCAACTGATGGATAAGGTTTACAGCGATATACTTAACTTACCTGAGGATGGTTTCAACGGCGAACGCTAAGTTATCACATTTACAGACGCTTCTACTCGTTACGTTTGGACTGGAAACATGACTAACCGTTTTCTTGCGTTTACAGCTTTTCGCACCTGGCTTCCTCTCGCCGAACGAGAGTCTGATACTAAGCTCAAGGCGTTTCACTGTGACGGCGCCGGCGAGTATCGCAGTACTGAGTTCACGGCCTATCTGCAAGAACGCGGGATAAGACGACTTTTTTCGTTGCCTCACGCTCATCAGCAGAGTGGCGTAGCAGAGAGGCTCAACAGGACTCTGCAAGAGAAGATGCGAGCCCTTCTTGCCCAGGCTCAACTCGGCCCACTCTACTGGCCTTTCGCCATGGACCATGCAACGCTGTTGCACAATCTTCTTTCGTCCTCGGCCCTGCCCAACAACGCATCACCCCACTTGCTGTGGACGGGCAAGTTGGGTACCACTAAATTACTTCGTGTTTTCGGGTGTGTTGTTCAGTACCGTCCTCCTACCGCTCCGCTCGGGAAGTTCGATCAGCGTGCTAAGTGGGGACTACATCTCGGCATTGAAAAACAATATTTTGCCTGGCGTATCATGGATTACCGCAGCCGTCTTCTTGTTCCTGCTCGCAACTGTATTTTCTATGAGAATCTGACGCTGCCCGTCTTCGAACAGCATCTTGCCATGCAGCAAAACCCTGCCACGCTTTTCCACGGTGTTCGTTCGTTTGCTAACGCCGATGTCGAAATTGCTGCCAGCGAAGAACCTGACTCTGACGGTGCACGTGAAGCTGCTCCCGACCCACCTGTCCCCGTCATGTCATCTGGAATTCCGGAGTTTATTCCTCTTGCTGACGCGGCACCTGAAGATGTCCGCGAAGTTCATCATACTTACCTCGTGGATGAACAACGCCAACCAATGCCGGTGGTTTCCGATAGCAGCATCCGTGTCAACCCTGACGAAATTGGGGGGGCAAGTGGAGACCAGAATGATTCTGTCAATTTCGCAGGTCGTCCCGACGATAATCCACATTATCAGACCGGACTGCAAATTCTGGGACTCGCAGCAGCGGTACAGCACAGTTCTACAGTAAATTTGGAGCCGAAAACTGCCCAACAAGCTCTCTCAGGGCCTCATCGCGAAAAATGGCGTGAAGCGATGGATCGCGAACTGGCTGCCCTGGAGAAAAGGGGAACTTGGGATCTTATACCCATTGAAAAAACGGTAAACAAAAATGTTCTTACCGGTAAGTGGGTCTTCAGGGTGAAGACTAAAGCGGATGGTACTTACGAGAAACACAAGGCACGATGGGTGGTTCGTGGTTTTGATCAGACTCATGGGATCGACTACACACTTACCTTCGCCCCGGTCAGTCGACATACGAGTGTTCGACTTGTTCTTTGCGAAGCAGCCGCGAAGAATTTTCCACTTCGACAAATTGATGTTTCCAACGCCTTTCTGTACGCTGACGTCGATGCCGAAATCTACGTCGAATATCCGCACACATATCCGACAAATCCACCAAGTGTCTGCAAGCTCAAGAAATCACTGTACGGCATCAAACAAGCACCGCGACTGTGGCAGCAGCATTTGAACAGGAAGCTGACGGAGGTTGGGTTTCGACAACTGCCGCACGATCCCGGGATGTACCGGCTAGACGACAAGGGGAGCTATACGTTGTTAGTGGCTTACGTGGACGACATCCTCTACGTTAGCTCGTCTACTTCGCTGGGAGATCGTATCGAAGCCGATCTGAAGAAGTCACTTGACTTAACCATTTCCACCAAAGTAACTCAATTTCTGGGGTTAAACGTTTCACGAACTTCTTCCGCTATTCATCTCACGGCTTCGAAGTATGCGGAGTCACTCGCTAAGCGTTTCAACATTTCCACGGATTTCGTTGCTACACCTTATCGGTCTACACTCACTGGGCACGTTCCCAATCTGAAAAATTTGTCAGCAGCTGGTCTTCAACTGTATCAGCAGCAGCTGGGATGTCTTCTTTTCGCAGCAGTCACTTGTCGCCCTGATCTTGCCTACGTCGCAAGTCACCTTGCGCAGTTTTTACGCTGCCCGAAAGAAGAACACTCTCTCGACTTACAGCGTGCGCTACGCTACTTCGTCTCTACACCAACCCTCGGATTGATTTTCAATGCTGGGAAGCTGACCGACAAAATGTACCTCAGCGGGTACGTTGACGGAGACCACGCTGGCGACACGTCAGATCGACGGTCACGCACGGGTTATATTTTCCGTCTCGAGCCGATTGGTCCGATTTCCTGGAATTCCTCGAAACAGGAACTGGTGTCACTTTCATCGGCTGAAGCAGAATTCATCGCCGCTTGTGCTGCAACTCGCGAAGGTCTGTACCTGCAGGAGTTACTTGACGAAGCAAAATTCGTCACGCCAAATCAGTTCACGTTGCAGTGCGACAACCAGAGTGCAATTACCATCGCCAACAAGCCTGGTTTCGTCAATCGCACGAAGCATATTTCGCTGCGTTACTTCTTCGTAAAAGACGCGATCGACAAGGGGAGAATGCGCCTTGTCTACTGCCCCACCAGCGACATGGCCGCTGATTCGCTTACTAAGGAGCTGACACGTCAGAAATTTCATCACTGCAACCAGCTCAGTGGCACTTCCGAGTCAACAGGGTGACTACACCGAACTCCTAGAAGTGAAGGGGAGTGTTGAGATAATGTCGAGACTTATGCACTTCAAGGAATTCGTATAGTTAGTACAGTAAAAGTACCGATAGACTGACGTCAGAAAAGCGCTACGCGCCTTAGGATGACGTCATCAGTAGCTGTAGGTATCGCGAATAGTCACGTACCTTTTCAGAACAGGAATAGCGCGAATAAATACAGCACAGTAGGCGAACAGGTACTTTAGTCTAGTTATATATTCTGTATGCTTGTCATTTTATAATATACTTGATTTCAGAGACCTTTGATCCTGTTACAAGTCACTCATATAAAAGACTTCCACTGCTACAAGAAGCTACTATCCTAAGACTACGATCCTATTCAAACAGTTCAGATTCTAACAACAGGCATATTGTCCTAAAAATTTTGTGTGCGCACAGACCCGCTACTGAAAAAAAAAAACCCTTTTATCCCAATGGTCTAGTGACTGGGATTCTGACAGCGAAGGCATTGAGTCGCGCGAGGGTGAAGGGATTCGAAATTCTGAATGTGGGGATGCAAAATTGTGTTTGGTTACAGCGTTTCCAGTAAAATTATAGAAACTATTACAGAGGGTGGCACTTATAATTTGTAAGCCGTTAGGGGTGGGCTTATAATCGAGGACCGGATATAAGCGCCATAAGCCTTTTACAAGCGCAGGCGCTTATCATATGCCTGCGCTTCTATCCGGGGGCTTACGGTAAAGAAGATACTGAAATTTCAGGGAAAACGAAAATCACAGCTACAAAATCAGCCTAATCAGCATGTTTTACGCTGATATCTGAGGGCCTGGTGCCCCATGTACGGTAATTACAAGTAGCTGCCCAATCCCTTGACAGCCTGCCAGGTTTCCGCGAAGGTACGTCAAAGGCGAGTGCGATGCCAGGTACAGCCAGGTAGAGTGAAGATTCCTTTCCCAGTGATTGACGCTGACGGCGGATTTTTTTTTATTTTTATATTTTTATTGCCAATCCCAAAAATCCATGTATTTTCACCAACAGAAATCGGTTCGATATTGTGGTTTCGAATCAGAGTTACAAGAAAAAAGTACACTGAAATTTCAGTGTCGGTACAAGAAACATGGCTGAAAAATCAGTGCTAGCATTGTAAAAAAAAAAAACACACACACTTTTGAATCAGCCTAGGGGCCTAAAAAAACCCTGAAAAAAAAAAAAAAAAAAAAAAAAAAAAAAAAAAAGGCGTTTCAAGGGCAAATTAGCGTAATTTTCCTGACTAGTGGTGAGAGGTGACCGTGAGAAGTGACAATGAGAAGTGATGGTGAGATGAGATGGTGAGAAGTGACGGTGGGAAGTGACAGTGGGGAGATGAGATGAGATGGAATCGAGGAAGAGGATGTGTTTCTTAGATGGATTACTTGTCAGAATTACCGGTAAGCCAACCAAGATTGTGTACAAAAAGTCTAAGGACTACGTCTAAAGTACAATACTATGGATGATGGTTCCTACAGCCTCCCTGCTGCTCCCTGCTGCTCCCTGCTGCTCCCTGCTGCTCCCTGCTTCTCCCTGCTTCTCCCTGCTGCTTCCTGCTGCTCCCTGCTGCTCCCTGCTGCTCCCTGCTGCTCCCTGCTGCTTCCTGCTGCTCCCTGCTGCTCCCTGCTGCTTCCTGCTGCTCCCTGCTGCTCCCTGCTGCTGCTGCTTCCTGCTGCTCCCTGCTGCTCTCTGCTGCTTCCTGCTGCTACCTGCTGCTCCCTGCTGCTCCCTGCTGCTCCCTGCTGCTCCCTGCTGCTCCCTGCTGCTCCCTGCTGCTCCCTGCTGCTTAAACACTGTACCTGAACTTGCAGGCTGCTGACTTCTTCCTACTTGTGCACAATCCCCCCTTTTCGGCTGCCAGCATTCTGTATACGAGGGGATAAAAGTGCGGACAGCGTGTTTGCTGAAGACTCGTGACGTCTTCACAGCAAGACTCGTGACACTGCAGAGATTATCGGCTGCGCTGCGTTGCCTGCCCTGCCTCACCCTTGACAACCCCTCACCCCATCTCCCTCTATCCCCACCAGCACACTACAGGAAAAGGCGAGCTGGAGACCTTCGCACGCAAATCCCCAGCCACACGAATCCCAGCCGCACCGCATATCAGCAGCGTCTAAGAGTGGCGCTGCTTCTAACGGTTAAGATTTCACGCCGCCCATTCCATGCCGCCCATTTCACCAGCTGTATTCCTCTCGACCGCTGCTGGCGCCAGCCGCACAGCAGCGACGTGGCTGTAACAAAAGCGCGTCGAGCTCGTCCGGCGTCGCTCGTCGCTTGACGCTGCTCGTCACATCCCTGCCTCCGCCTCTCTCTCACTCAGCTCCCTCGCCTTCCGCTGTCACATCCCACGCCGCCCCTGCCCTTCCTCCGCCCCTTGTCCCCCCACACTGCGCGCGCTTTCCGCCCACACCGCGCGTGCCTCCCGAGATTCCGCCACAGTCGCTGCTGCCAGTGGTGTTTCCCTCGCCTCTCGAGTCCCCCGAGAGACGAGATCCGCGGAAGCCGCCCCGGCCAGAGCAGATCCGCGCAGAAGAGGGGAAGAGGCGGCCCGGCCCGGCTCGTACAGTCCTTCTGAGGACTTGAGAGTCAAGCCGCCGGGAGTGATCGTATCACTTCCCGAGGATCCGCGCGTTACTGTCAAGGTAGCTGGCCCTTCCGCCGATGCCAGGCGCCGCTCATATGCTTGATACGACGAGAGGTCGCTGACCCATTTTCCTGCGATATTGTCACAAGAGATAACAAGAGTCACGCCCAATACGGTTAGCGTTGCGTGGGATCGAGGAGGAACAAACATAAGATCGGCGGACCCGGACATGGGCGAGATTCTAGCAGTGGGTGGGTGAGTATTTTGAGTCGATTCCGAATGCACCCGAGCCGTGGCTCGCGGTACAGAGCCGCTCGGGGACGGGCGCGCGACGATGGGATGCATGCTAGCGACGTGCAAAGTTGAGAGAGACGCGACATGCGATGGCAAAGCTTTGGGCGACGGAAGGCAGCGAAAGGGACGAAGCGACGGGACGTCATGACATGGCGTCATGACGCGGTGCGTGCTGTGTAAAGCGACAGTATGCACCATGCAACGGAATATGCATTGTGGGACAGCAACGCGACAGAAACACGCACCGTGCGATCGCGGGAGCAGGAGGGCCAGGCAGGCCAGGAGAAACAACCGATGCATGATCGAAGGCAGCCTCGGCACTCCCGGAGCCATGGCGAAACGCAGAAGTCGTAACGGCTGATGCTGTTGAGGCTAAGTAATGGCTGGTGTGATGAGGCGACGTAACGGCTGATAGTGAAAACCGAAAGCAATAACCGATGGTGTCAAGCAGAAAAGGTAGCGACCAGGAAGAAGGATAACCAGATTGCTGATGAATTGGGGATTAGTGCTGCGAACCGTGGTGTGGCGTGAATGGTTCGTGTCGGGCTTGTGTAGCTTGTGAGTGAAATTGGACATTCATATTGGTGTGATGCTGAACGTGGAATGCTGCTGATGAGAGGAGGATTTGGGGGAGGAAAGACTGCTGTTGGTCGGACATTTTCAGAAAGAGCGCGCATCGATGCGCGCGAACGGTTCGCGATGCGACAGCGTCCGACACATCTGGGAGCCAATGGGTAGAGAGAACAAGGCGAAACCGCAGCGCCGTCTGACAAGCGTTAGGGCGGAGCCTGAGGAATCTGACACAAAACATAACTCCTGATATTTCTGTACGTGTAGAGTATACTAATCCTGTTACGGCAATGAAATTTTACGTCTCTTGCGTTTGCATCTTCTGCCAGGTCAGCCTCATCCTGTGATGTGGCGAAGCTGCGGTACCCCTCGTAAACCCTTTCTGATGCTTTGTCAGCTTCGCGGTGTTCCTTGAACAGTGGCAGGGTCAACTTCTCGTAGAAGATGCAGTCACGTGATTTCGTTACTTCGTGTGTTCCGTAGTCCAGCACGATCCACGCTTGTATTCCTTTTCGATACCAAGGTGAATGCCCCAGCGTGCCCGATCAGCAAACTTTCCGGCTCTTGCTGTATGTGGCCTGTACTGTACCATGCAGCCGAACACCCGAAGAAGACACGTGTTAGCCTTTCTGCCCGTCCAAGCCTTGTAAGGTGAGGTGTTGTTCTCAAGGCTTCGGGAGGACAGCAAGTTGTGCAGCCGAACAGCGTGGTTCATTGCAAACGGCCAAAGAACTCGTTGGGATGGCAAACTGCTTCATCAGGGCTCTCATCCTTATGGCGAGGCTCCTGTTTGTCCGTTCTGCTACTCCTTGCTGCTCGTGAGCGTAGGGCAGGGACACCAGGTGCTCAATCCCCTTCTTGGAGAAGAGTTCCTTACTGTAGTCAGTTGTTAGCAAGGACATCCCGAGGGCCACGCGACCATCACGTTCGGCCTATTTCGTCGCACCGAACCACTCCCGAGTCGGCCCCCCTTTTCCAATCGCAACATCACCGAGCCATCTTTGCCCGACCTCCCTGCCTAGCTAGGTTTTCCCCTATTTAGGTCTTATCACTTTCATCGTATGGTCATTCTGTAGTTCGACATTGTTAGAGTGTGGACCTTGGATAGACTAGGTATGCTTTAAGGAATTGGTAGCGGAAGTCTTTGTGGTACGAACCTTGTGCGTAGTGAATGTAGATGACAAGATTGATTAAAAGATAAAATTACACACAATAAATAGATCTAACTAGCCATGTACTCTAAGAGGTATATTCCCTTATTATAATTGTTTTACGGGCATTTCTACAGTAACCCAGACGATTGCTCTTCTCCTGTTATCGGGTCGCTGTATAGACAGTTACACCTGTTGCCATTCTTCGCTTGGTCGTTCGGTCCAGATGGTCAACAGTCGCGATAGTAGACCTTTGCGACTGTTAACCTTCCTGCCCTGCATGGGCTGATCCGATACTGCTGCTATTGTTGCTTCGGTAGTGGCGGGTGCGATACAGCTGCAACTACGGGAATGCTTAAGTCAATTCCCTACTTACTCCAACAGACGTTCTCGTTATTCATTAAAACCCGCGGGCCAAGAAGTTCAACCTTAGGAAGGTTGGTTGGGGTGAGCAATACAATTGGCCAAGATTTTGGGTGCGAGGGCCACACTCAACCGAGGTTAGGAAGGTTGAACCAATTTGGGCCTTCTTGGCCCTCCGGTTTTAAGCTGCGCACTCTGCAAGTTCATTCATAACACCTAGTATCAGAGCTACTTTCCTAGCCTACCCTGCTTTTTAGAGTGTAATACCCCTCGAGAGGGGGACGAGGAAGGATGTCTTGGGTTCGAGGAGTTGCGTGCTAGCCGGCCAGGAGAATGATTTAGTTGCTCCTCGCAGCCATGTTTTTACGGGGCATTCCTTGGCACCGCCAGATCCATGCCTTGAACGGTCGCGATCGACCGTGACCTCCCTCCCCCGAGGAACGGATGGCTGAAGCTGTCGCGACCGTAAACGTGCGTTACTATTCCGCTGCTTTTTTACTGACGATCCTGGAACTTTGTGAGGTAGCTGGCTGCGTTGGCACCTCCCTGAAATTCGCGGAATTATCATCGCACGCGGTTGTTAACGCCGTCGGACCTAGGTCAACGGCTGCACGACGATTTCTGGATCGTCCTTACGCGGGAGTTGATGTCGGTGGCACGCCGTCAACATGTGCGCGAGATTCTTGGAAGATCCTCGGCAGCTGGCGACAACGGACCGGCGTTAGCATGTGCGGCAATTGGCGTTCGTGGAACTTCGTCAAGTTGCGCACTAGATTTTCGGAGCTACAGTTGAGAAAAAGGCAGCTAGGGGAACTCGCCAGGCGCAAATGGAGTTTTTGCGTCCGAAAATGTCGGTGGCAAGGAGAGACGATATGCGAACAGCTCGATTTATGCGGGGTCAACTGCCGTCCCGCCGGACCTATAGTGCAGCGACTTTTACTGCATGACGGGCACGTCATCAAATATTTCGGTAGGAGTGCACACGGATTGACGGGATTCATTGATAACAACATACAACCCCACCTCTCAAAAGTACTGGCTTCGTTTTCTGCCTCAAAACCCAAGCCTGAATTAAAAAAACAGAGTCAACGCTTGGTTTGATAGGTCTGGGGTTTGGGCAACATGAGGTGCGGAGGAATTGTATACGCAGATAAACTCTACAACGGTGGGAGCTAGACTACGGGGTAGGCACAAGTTGTCAGAATGATCGTAGCTCTGTCTGTGTTCTCTAGCACTTGTGCATTCATAGGGAAAAACAGCAAGAGTTTCACTAAGGAATTTTAAGAACACTGAATGAACTAGCAATGGCAAGAATGGCTGCATCAGATGCAACGTTTGCTAGTGCACAGGCAGGTCAATCGCCAGCACGACAAAGCCCTTGACCTGCCAAAGTAGCAACTCCACGGCCCGCCAACACAGCTTGTGTGCGACTTGCCAACGCTGCAGAATGGCGGCCTGACAACGCTGCACCTGGGCGGCTTGCCAATGCTGCACCCACGCGGACTACCAACGCTGCCCTCGCAGGTGATGTAGGCGCATATGCATGCATCTACTTCGCAGATGCTTGTAGACAGTTACGCACGACGTGCACTGTCGTGCACATTGCGCAGGTGCCACGTCGGCCACATGCAGACGGTTGCATCTGACTAGCCACCTCGACCACGTGCTGCCACGTTGGTTGACTTCGCCACAGCAACCTCGACGACGTTCGCCACCCTCCGCAAAACCTCGTCGAGCAGGTAACTCTGTCGACCGGGTAAAGTTATCGGCAACCCTGCAGGTCGATGACCTTCGTCATCATAGGTTGAGGACCTTCGTCGTTGCGGGTCGACGACCTTCGTCATCGCGGGTCGACGACCTTCGTCTACCACCTTCGTCGACCACCTCGGTCGACATTCCGAAATTCCGGATCCTCATTGGTCGAAATTTGGGCAGATTCGAATTCCTAGCCAAAATTCTCTTGTGCATTCGCGAGGGTGTGGAGGATCAGACGCGACTCTATGCAGATGAACACCCGCAAACCTCTGCACCAGCTGCGCCACTTGCACATGTGCACGAGACGTTTGCGTTGCACTCGCGGGTGCTTCAGTTACTCTTGCATGTGTTCCATAGTACACCTGGTGTACATGCAACCCTTCACCTTGTGCACGAGGTCCTTGTCCCAACCTGCGCATAAGCTCCAGATCTCACATACTGTAGAGGGTCGGCTGCACCTCCCACACACCCGACCACGAAGTCAGCTTTGCCCAAGCGAGGGCGGGGCCAACTCCCGTCAACACTCCCCTGCCGCGTTCATGCTTGGGTACCCCACACACTAGGGCCACCCAGAACCCAATGGATAAAATACACGGAGAAAATCCTTTGGCGTGCACACAACACACAGCACGTCGGTCACCGCACAAGCCGTTCAGAAAGGCATGGCTCCTAGTGCTGCACATCGTCGTCACAGTCGCCAGACGAACTTGGCCGATTGCGACGAAGCACCGGTTGAAGGCCGGAAAGTGCAGCCCCTTTGTCAGGAAGTCAACCGGCTGCTCAGAGGTGGGGATGTACTTCAGCACGATCTTCCCGCGCTTCACCATCGCGTAGCATCGCTGTAGCCAGGCGTAGCATCGCTCCATGTGCTTGAGGTTGCCCTTCAGCCCCCAGCCTTCCGCGACAGTGATGGCCGACTGTTTGTCAAACACGAAGGTCGGTCGCCGTCCCAGGGTCCAACTGCTGGAAC